AGCATTACACAAAAGCCCTCCCACATAAAAGCAAGAGATTTAATGACAAAGAAGGAGTCAAAGCAGCGATCTTATTAGCATAAGTAAATGGGGTTAGCACAGTGAAATTAGGAGTTGCATGACTAGGAGAGGCTAGTCCTAATGTCACGTGTAACATGAAAAATTGATTAGCGACAGAGGCAGACCCAAAATTCGACGGTTGGGGTGCACTTTTAGATACAACCAAAATCTGCTTCGTATATAGGGTGACTGTTACTAATATATCACTATTTTCTAATAACATATACATGTATACATGGAATTTTTGCCGAATTGAACTTTGTGATGCCGGTGACCCCTCTCAGTACCAATGTAGGAACTAGACCTGTAAATAATGCACAGTTAGAGCAATAGACTTGAATAAGACGAACAGGATTATATCTTGACAATGTTTTTTGTAAAACAACAGTAGCATGGCATAATTTCCAACAGCAAAGGACATACAAAATCAGTATCGTGAAACTCAAATTACCAGGACGAAAGAAAACAGCAAATTTGAGGAACATTTCAGGGATATATTAAAACAAAATATTTAAGAGAAGACTAGTTACCTTCCAGGTGAGAGAGAAGCCCAGATGTTACCTCCCAACAAGAAAAGCAGAGAAGATAATAACAATTCAAAGAAAACATACAAGTATTTGCTACTCAAAAAAAGAAGAAAATGGCCCATGCAGGTCTCGAACCTGCGACCTTCGCGTTATTAGCACGACGCTCTAACCAACTGAGCTAATGGGCCTGTTGCTCTAAAACCACGGTAGAAGTTATAAGACGTATGAAAAGAAGCAGCGGAGTGGATATGACTTTTTATCTAAATTTTCTTCTTCCAGGAAAAACACTAACTACTGGAATTTTGGGATATATGTGCATGTATTAACGTACTGGACATTAGGTCTAAATGGACTTGTAATTAAGCCACTTATTTTTTTTTTTCTGGCACTCAGTCAAAATATAGATATACGATTTCTCGGGGGGGGGGGTAGAGTAACATTTCCCGTTCCCGTCGTCCTCCCCATCAGAGGCGGCTCAATAGTATTGGAGGCCTAAAGCCAAGCCATAATAAGAGGCCTTAAACTTGTTTAATAATTTTAGATATTTTTGTTGAAGTTTATTGGAGTATTATCACTTTTAGTCCGCACAAGAAACTATTTATATTTGGTAGCCGAAAAAGTGTATAAAACTTATATAATTTTTGTATATAATATACAGAATGTATATATATATATACAAAAAATATACAAATTTTATATATTTTTCGGTTGCTATTTTTACGGCGGCTCATTTTTCCAAGTTTATTCTTTTTACTTTTTGAGATGCAAATTCATCTTGATGATGTAACCAACCCCTTTAGTTTTTGTTGAAATATTACTAACATTTGATATGATTTTATTAAGTTTAGTTTTGAATTTTTTTTTCACATGACCGTCAATATAACTCACTATATAGCATTGCTTCCCAAAGTAACAATCATGTGAAAATTTGTATTTACAAAGATGATAAATAAATTAACTATAGCTTTTTATGATCTAATTAGCTTCGAGCGTGCTACATAGATCTTGAAAGAAAATATCCTACAAAGTTAGAGTCGTAAACAAAATTTATTCTAGTTGAAGTAAGAAGAACTAGAAATTAAAGTAACTGTAGATTCAATTGCCTTGCACTTTTATTTGAATTTTCTCAACCAACTCCAAGAAAGGACAACACAAAATATAAAACTATGTTATTAACAATTGGTGACAAGGTAGCAAAAGATGGTTGAAAAAATTTTCTTGTCACTATTTAATCATAAATACAATAAGTATTTAAATTACATAGAGCAGCTTTTGGGGCCTCTAATTTTGTGAAGTTAGTGGCCTGGGGGTTAAACCACCTCTGCTCCCCATGTTCAGAAAAAAAAATTTATAATCTTGAAAAAACATAAAAATTCATTATCCACATGCAGACGAGGGCAACTGTATATAGTCCTAGAAAAATCAGAATCCTTGGCAGGGGTAAACCAGCAGCTCAAAAATGAAGTGCACAAAAGGAACAAAAACCATGGGCGAATGCCAGTAAAGACCTTTTTACCAATGATCCAAACCAAATATCCATGAGATTGGACTTACGGTTAAAAACTAAGCTCAAAGTAACAATATGAAACAAGCAAATAGACAAGAATGTAAAAAGAAAGAGAGGAGCGATTCTTATTTCTTCCATGTATTCAAGTGTGTACAATGTGATGCCCAAGCCCTCTATTTATATATAGGATGACATTAAGGTAATACATAAGGATTTCATGAATATGATATTAACTATTGAGATCATGTGGGAAGATCATGGACAAGGTTATAGAGTTATGGGAGTTACAATCATAATGGTGAAGAATAGTGGGAGTTAATGGAGAAAAGTGGTGGGAGTAACTTCTTTAGGAGTTATAGACATCCACTACAAAATATAATATTTCATACCACTTACTACATACTATTTGTTTTGGAGACACATTTTTTTTCCTCAAAAAATAAAAAAAATATAAAAGAACGGTCAAGGGGATTCAACCGCTAACATATATATATAAAAATATTTTAACCTTATATATATACTATAATTTTCTGTTTCAGAGCTGAGGGTCTACCGAAACAACCTCACTATCTTTTCGAAAGTAGAGGTAAGGTCTGCGTACACTCTATCATTCTCAAACTCCACTAGTGAGATTAGCTGTCAGTATAATCTCGAAAGGGGTTCGCACCCTGGCTCAGCTCATATGCGTGTAATATTAAGAAAATAAGATATACATCCAAACTTGACAGCTATAGTAAAACTAATTTACTACAATATGTTAAAATATACTGATAATGTAAAAATCACATTTACAATCTATCAATGTATATAATTTAAATCCAATTTAACAGAACGATGAGTGTATCAGGGTAGTAGATATGTGGGCATTTGTTGCTTCGATGGAAATGGTAAAGAGTTCGTAAGATGTTATCCAAATATACCAAAAGTGGGAGAGACAGAGTGAGCTACGCGGTGAAACTACAGTGGCTAACTCCCAAAAATGCCTAACTGATAGTAGTCGGATTCTTTGCATCTCATTCAATATTCAATTATCCAAAAATTGACAAGAACAAATATGCCAACTCAATTACACGCAAGCACACTCCTATAAACAAGCCTATAATCATTACCCCCTTATCCCAAATTGAATCAAATACGGCCACACACACACACCTTGTATACTTTGTTATTAATCATCTGAATTATAGGAGTTTTGTGTCAATCTATCTACAAAGGATATATAATTTTAATGCCTAAAGTTCACAGCTTAAATATCACTAGTATTAATACCCGCGTGATCTCGCCCAACTATGCCTTATAAAAAGGACTAAGCGGTCGCTGCTCTAGTTTACATGTCCGGAGTCGAATCCCACAGAGAACTAAGGTTTAGCTACAGCTATTCACTATCACCAAGAAGACAAGCTTGAACAATTCCTAGCTTATAGATATTAAGATTCTTGTGTTTAACTACTTAACTAACAAATTAAAATAGTAAATTAACAACTAACGATACTGAGGGTTAGAGAAAAGATTAAGGAGGTCTAGAGTTATGATTTCCCCTATTGTCGGAATCCTTCCCGCTATGTCTTCTATAATTTCGCCTAAGTATTCTCTACCGATCATGAGCACTCTTATTACCGTAAATCTCTCCCGAGTAATTACGACAATTTACTAGACGCACTCTCCCGAGCTACGCTAGCTGGCTTTTAATACAGCTCACTTCAGATCGCACCCAAGGCTTCGTTATCCCTAATCCCACCTTTAAACCCTCGGTTATTGATCCCTCATATACTCTGGGAGTGGTGTTGTTCAACAATTACCTAAATATGCACTCTCTCCCGAGTTATGCATACTAAATAGGCACAGCTAATTGAGAGCTCTTCAACCAACCAGAATATAAACGTAGTTGAACAAATAGAGAAAAGCTATGGCTCAATTATATAAAAACATAACAAGAATTTATCCTACAAAAGGTTCTATCAAAACTCTAGATAACAAATTAGCTATTCATAATAGTATGTCAAAATTACAATACTAAAAGTCATAACCAACAATGAAAAATAGGAAGAGGAAGGAAAAACTCGTAGAAGAATTCTCCGCCTTGCTCCCAATGTGTTTCTTGCCTCCTTAGGTCGAATCTATGTCCAAAATATGTCCCCCTCCCTTTCTTGGCCGGCTTCCTTGGTTTAATATAGGGTTTAGGGCTTAAAATCCCGTGTTTTGCACATAAGTCCCTGAAATTTCCGCCTCCTGCTGCGGTTTTGCCGCGGTAGCGGTGGAACCGCGACCAAACATGCCCCCTGATTCTTCAGTTGTCCGCGACCATCTTCTACCGCGGTTCTGCCGCGGTCGCGGTGGAACCGCGGTTTTTCACCCTGTTCCCTTTGGAATTTGGAAAAACATAAAACATGAAAGTTGTAGCCCTTTGAGTTAGCTTTCCAACCATATATTGTGGAGCCCAAATGAAGTTCTGAGCAAAAAGTTATGTCTATTTTACTAGACAGTGCGCAATATGCCTCCTCAAGTCTTCGTTCGTACTTAATTATCAAATTTGACCCCCGAACACGATCCCGGCTTAATTCCTTGAGATTTTACTCAGACTTCAAAGCTTCAAATCACTTAAATTCATTCCATAACATCTATATAGCTCGGAACCACACCTACAAGGCATAAAACACACAATTAGTGCAAAACACTAGCGATTAAAGCGCAAACTCAATTAAAGTGCAGTAAATTCGAGTGTAATAAGCGACTAAAATATGCAATTATAGCCTATCATCACCGCGCCATAGGCAAATACAACTCATGTCAAATTATGACGTAGGTTGTTTGAATCATGTGCAAATAACCTTAAAATGTAAATCTCTCGGATAAAAATTATTTAACATTAGATATTAATTATGGAATTATACAGGATTTGTGATGTTATTGTTAGTCACTATATTGGTGTTTTCACGTTTCATTCTTGTTTTTCTTTTTTATGGGATCAAATCATAAAGTGTTTTGTCTAATGATTCTTGACAGTGGTAAGAGATGGTGGGAGAAGAGCCATAAACCCAACATGGTGGAGATCAATTCAGCACAACAACTTGTTGATTTATTATTAAAAGCTGGTGATAGATTGGTCATGATTGACTTCTATTCTCCTGGCTGTGGAGGTTGCAAGACTTTACATCCAAAGGTATGGTATATAGCAATGCAAAAGCAACAAATATGCCCTAATTCTAAGCGAGTTATGGTTTACTATATTTACTACTATATGAATCATCACTATCTATGCCGATCCGTTTAAACATAAAATAAAAATAAATAAAGAAGTTAGAAGTTATAACTGGTGCTACTATTGATGCTTGCAGATCTGTCAGTTAGCTGAATCAAACCCCAATGCTTTATTCCTCAAAGTAAACTACGTAGAACAGAAAACCATGTGCAATGCTCTTCATATACCTGTCTTACCTTTCTTCAGATTCTATAGGGGTGCACAAGGCAAAGTTTGTAGCTTCAGCTGTACCAATGCAACAGTAAGTATTTCAAAGTTACAATAGTAATTTTTTGTGGGTTCAATTAGACCTATTTCAAAGTTCAATTACCTTCCATTTCAACTATGTATACACTGTAAAAATATTTAAAATTTAAAATATAATATTATCACATTCGGTCGAGGGTCTTTCGGAAACAGTCTCTCTACCATCATAACGTAAGGGTAAGGTATGCGTACACTCTACCCTGCCCAGATCCTACTTCTGGAATTTCACTGAATTTTTTTTGTTGTTGTAATAATATCATATTCATTCTGAACTCAGATCCTTTGTAAGTCCTATTACTGCCCAACCCTCAAGTTGGTCATTGATATTTTACTTTCTCTATAGATTAGTTTACTGGATTATTTAATTTATCACATAACTGAAATAGTAAATATTGTACAGTTTCTCATGGTAAAATTTGTTTTTTCCAGATAAAGAAATTCAAAGATGCATTAGCAAAGTATGGGAAAGATCGGTGTAGCCTTGGTCCAGCAAGAGGTTTAGATGAATCTGAGCTTTTAGCCTTTAGCCTCAATTGGAGAATTATCAAGAAATGATTGTACAAGGAATGATATATTTCAAGAATCAGCCCTAACTGGAGTTCAATTGTTTAAGACAATATTAGTACGGTTTAAGACAGTGCAAATTTTTTTAACATTATTTAATGTAATTGAACTTGTTATTGCAAGTTATTTACTCCACTTTTCAGGTAAGACCGTTCGGGTCGGATATGGGCCGATCAAAACGGATAAATTATCCAATCCGACCCATACTTAATACGGATAGAAAATAGGTTAATCGGCGAAAAATATGAATATGTATATTATCCATTGCTTCTTGAATATAATAACTTTTATGAGAATTCATATTCTTCCTAATTTGAGGAATCCCCAATTTGAGTCTTTACAAAAAGTTAAACCTATTAGTTATCCATTGGTTATCCATTTTGTAAGTGGATAATATGGTTCTTATCCATATTTGACCCGTTTTTAAAAAGTTTACTCCCTCCGGTCCAAAATAAGTGATTTTTTGGCCTTTTTCTTGTGGTCCAAAATAAGTGATTTTTCCAGATTTCAAGAATGAATTGATTGTTTTTTTCCTACATTGTCCTTGGAGTAAATAGTATTGGAATATGTGTTAGAAGTGTTTATGTGAGATAGTAAAGGTTAATATGGTCAATTCCATTGCTCATTAATGCTAAAAGGTGAATTTCTTAATCTGTGTGAAAACATCCAAAAAAAAAATCACTTATTTTGGACCGGAGGGAGTAATGTCAGATTGAAGGTATGTCTCCTTCAATAAGGTTGCTCTACTCATCTGGTCGATGACGTGGCAATATCTGAATCGCGAAAACTTTAAATAGGACATTGTGCAATCTCGCTAAACATACTAGGAAGATTAGTTATTGTATAGAGGGAGGGATCCACAATTTCAAATCAATAATAAATATAAAATTAATAAATATATTTATAAAAAGTTTTAATTATAAAAATTAGCTAATCTATGGTAGCAGTATTTTTCTACTGGTAGTGTAATTTGATGCGGCAATGGTATAAAGTGAAATGAGAAGTAAAGAGAAGAGGCACCCAGAAAAAATAATAATTCTTTACTGACTTTGCAAGAATGTTGCTAGTCTTTTCATCTGTCCAAGTCTCCTTGAAAGCTGCTTTCACTTTCTTATTCCATGAATGCATTTCAGGTAATCACAGTTGCACAAAATAGTCCATATCATTTGTTATTTTTACTCCCTTTATCCTTTTGTTTATTCAACATGAATCCCAAGGCAAACTGAACATTTATCCTCCTTATTTATAGTCTCGTTCTTTATTACTTTTTTAATTTTAAGTC